CGGGCTCCGGCCACCTGCGGGGGGGGGGGCGGCGGCCTTCAGCCGGGTACTTTTCTCTCCCCGCGAGCAGAAGTGGTCCAAAGGGAAGGTGCGCGACAAGCTCAACAATCTCGTCCTCTTCGACAAAGCGACCTACGACAAGCTCTGCAAGGAGGTGCCCAACTACAAGCTCATCACGCCGGCCGTGGTCTCCGAGAGGCTCAAGATCCGGGGCTCTCTGGCCCGGGCCGCCCTCCAAGAGCTGCTTAGTAAAGGTAGCCATGTATGCATTCGCCCCACCACCACCGCTGTCGCCAGGGGACTCCTTCCTTGCCAAGTGGCTCAAGGCAGGGCAAAGTGTTGCACGCCAAGAAGGGCTTCTCAAAACCCACCTAAAACGGCCTGCTTCCCCATGCAACTGTCTCACCGGTTATGTAACATCTTGCGTGCACCCACCCCCATTTGACAAAGCTGGGCATTCTTTGAGGTAGTGATGGGATAATCCCCATGAATAGGTGGAGAGTTGAAATAGGACTGCTGAGTCTTGGATAGTATTGTTGGCTCAGCCATGCAGTTCTCTGGGGGTCGGTAATTCTTAAGATACCTCTGACCTGGATGGCCCAGGTAAGTAAGCCAGATCTGTAAACTAAACAGGATCAATTCCAGGCCTCCAGTAGGGGTCAGCCACTAGAGGTCGCCATGACTTCAAGGTGTGCACACATGCACATGGACATATAAAAATACAAAAAAAGTTTTAAATAATTCTTAAGCAAGTTAGAATGAATTAAGAAGATTTAGATAAGAATACTTAAAATGATGGACGTAGGTTCACTTGGTGTGGAGCATTATGAACTCTGGTAGAAGCAGACCCCCTCCCCCAATCCTGTATATGAAAACATAGCTGAAATTGACAAGTGGAGCCAGACAGAACTAGAATTGAGATGAAATACATTTCATTGCAGTAAATCCTTTTTGTTTAAAGAATAACAGTCAGGGGAGTGCAGATGGAGGCAGGAAGAAAATAGTGTTTCTTTTTTCCCCCCCAAAAAACATTTTATTATTGGGTTATAACAACATATCCAACATTATAACATTTCCTTATTTCCAATATAGCCCTTTTCCCTTCTTCCCTCCCTCCCCTCCTCCAGGCTTCCCGCAGTGATCCCACCCCTACCAAATTTCTTATTGTTATCTAATCTTTCTACTAAACCACAGTTTAATAAGTAACTATTACTTTAACTATCTTTCTCTCATAATCTATTTTATAGGTAACATTTCTTTAACTACCATTAACTTCTATTCAACTCTTAACTCATTCTATTCCTTATAATTATTATAGCATAATAAATTGTTTCTAACATCTTAATATTTCTCTAAATATTCTTTAAAATCCATCCAATCTGCAAAAAATTCTTCGTCTTCTTTGTTAAGTTTTCTTGTCAATTTGTCCATTTCTGCCATAAAAAGCATTTTTCTAATCCATTCCCAAACCTCTGGTACTCGGTCTTGTTTCCAATATTGCGCATAGGTCATTCTTGCCGTTGTAATCAAATACCATAACAAAGTTCTCTTAGTTACATTCACTTCTTCCATCTTAAGACCCAAAAGAAGTATTTCTGGTTCTTTTTTAAAGATACATTTCAAAAAATTTTGCATTTCATTATGGACCTCCGTCCAAAAAGTCACTGCTTTATCGCAAGTCCATATATGGTAAAAAGAACCTTCTTTTTAGGCGTCATATACCATCTATACATCAGTTTAAAGCAATTTTCCTTTAAATTATTACATGTCGAAATTTTCATTGAATTTTTCCATAAACATTCCGAAGATGACATAGCTATTTCCTTATTCATATTAATTGCCCATTTTATCATTTGTTCTTTCACCATTTCGTCTTCTGTGTACCACTTTAATAGTACCTTATAAAGTTTATATCATATTTTTACCTTTTTCCACCCACACACCTTCCATTTCATTGTATTTTATCCGAAACCCAAACTCTCTTTTATTTATTTATTTATCAAATTTATACCCCGCCCTCCCCCGTTTATCAGATTTAAATAAGTCATAAATCTGTCTATAATTTAGCCAATCATATTCAAAGTCTATTTCTTCTCTTCTTTTTATCTCACAACTTCTCCCTTCTATTTTTAAAAGAAAATAGAGTTTCTTACAGATTGGGCAAGGCTAAAATTGGGAAGAAAAGCAAAGTCAAAATAAGTGAGCTAAATATTTCGGTTCTTGGACAGTTAAAGCTTTTCTCCCTTACGTTGAAAGATACACAAAGGCGCTAAGATGGGGGGTGGGATTGCTCTTTCTCCAGCCTCAGAAAATCACATTTAAACTTCTCTACCTGAAACCTACTCACTTGCGATAGGGTCTCTTACTGCAAGAAAAATTTGCTATTCTTATTCTTTCTCTGGTGGAATCTATGTAAAGATCCAGCAGTAGTACTTTGGGCCTGAGCACCTATCTATGCTGGCCCTTGCTCCTGGTTGTATTTTCTTATTCAGTGATGGCTCCCCATACCTGGTATACCTTCTAAGGTGCTGACCTTTGGCCAGCAGCCACACTCCCACAACCCTGGCTGGATGCTGATACTTCCCCTGCGCACAGCAATGTGCTCTGCAAGAAGGGGATGGCCCTTTTCCAGAAATGTGTTGCGAGTGCTGTCATGAGGCAGTTTTTCCAAACTGGCTTAGTATGCACAAAAAAACAGAAATACGAATGGTCCTTTTGTCTTATGCATTGAATGGAGCTGTTTTTCAGGTCTAATCAAGCTCGTGTCCAAGCACAGAGCCCAGGTGATCTACACCCGCAACACCAAGGGAGGTGACGCACCAGCTGCTGGGGAGGATGCTTGAGAAGGTGAGACGCTTTGGTGTGCCCAGATTCTTATGTACCTGATGGCTTGTTGGGATTCTGGCGAAGCAGGACAATATGGTTCTCATTAGTTCTCTGTTTGCTTTACAGGATCAGAAGTGATGCTTAAATTCTTGTGTATGTTCATAAAAATAAAATAATTGAACTTTTCAGACTGGTGGTGTTTAAAAAGATCTATCACATCAAGCTGTGTTTTGTGTTTGCTGCTTTTCTGTTCAGTCAGGGTCAGCACTCAAAGTGTATGGGGCTAAGGCTGCTCCCTAGTACAGAATGTGGGGTCGCACAGAGAAGCTCGGGAAAAGGAAGCTTTTCTGTTCCTATTCGCACCTTTGCTCTGAAAAGTACTTCAATAAGGACACAGAATACATTTTTATGGTTTTAATATAAATAGACAAAAAGCACGCTTTTACTCAGATGCTGGATTTTATATCTATATATAAATTCCATGGGAGGGAAAATACCAGTGTGCCCACACTGAGACAAGCACTGGTAGGAAAAGGAGGGAACTAGCAAGCAAAATGGCATCTACTCAAGTCACATATTCAAGGTTAGTTGCGCAGAGAGAGAGGGTAGGATAATTTTTTTAATCTCCCTCCCAGCAACCCTTTCCAACCTAGTATTTGACATACATTAGACTATACCAGGCATACCCAATATAGTGCACACTGACACCTTTCCTGGTACTTTACAAATACCACAGGCTCAACTTTTCATCAGCAATCAGGCAGTTTCCTCTTCTTCATTTTTGGCTTTTCCTGTCCTGCTTCAGCTTTGAACTGGTGCCTAGAGAAAGCATCACCATGAAATTAAGCAGCAGGCCATTGTCTGAACCCCCAACATCAATTAAAAATCCTTCACGCCCTGGTAACTGGAGCATAATATATCAGCTACTGAGATGCTCTAGCCAAATATTAGAGGTGTATTCTATCAAGATGGGAGTCTTGGGGCAGCCTGAAATTAAATGTATTTTGATGAACTTTTATAAGCAAGAACCCAAAAATGGTCACATAGTGTCACATATCTGGAATAGTGTACTGGTTGAAATCGGCAAACCATTCTTAGCTGACATTACAACAGAATGGCTATATTCAAAGAAAAGATAGTTACCGACTACTCTGCAGTCAGTAGTGACCAGAACTGTACCTGGACTGCCACCTCCTGCCGTGGTTCCATACCCGTCCAAAGGAGGGAAGCCAGCCTTCTCCTGTCTGAGAGGTGTGATCAAAGTTGGCCCCAACCCGATCAGGTGGGAGCTTCTTCAGCTTCTGCTTCTCTTCTGTGGGAAGAAAAGAGATACCATATTCAGGTATCTGGCGTCCAGCGTGTCCCCTCTCCACTACCCAAATCACCACTTACTTTCCTTGAGAAATTCTTCATACGAAGGTCCAATTTGCCCTGTGTTTTTCTCTCCTTCCTCTTCCAGCAACCAGGGGGGTTTGGCTCCTGAGGATGAGAACAGGAATAGGTTTGCTTATTTTTGCTTTATTTGCCTGCCTTCACTGGACCTCTAGGTAGATTATAGATGCAAAAAACAAAACAATCAGATGGCATAAAGAAGAGAGTGGATTTATACCCCGCTGTTCACTACCCAAAGGTGTCTCAGAGCGGCTTACAAACCCCTTCCCCTCCCCGCAACAGACACCCTGTGAGGCAGGTGGGGCCGAGAGAGCTCTTGACAGAAACGGCTCTTTTTCAAGGACAGCTCTTGTCAGAACTACGGCTTGCCCAAGATCAGCCAGCCAGGAGTAGTGGGGAATCAAACCCGGTTCTCCCAGATTAGAGTCCGCGCACTTAACCACTACACCAACCGGCAATAGGACTTGAATTACAAAACTGAAGAACAAGGCCGACAAAAATTGTCTAAGGCACAACATACCATAATGCAGAAAGCAGGTGGGTCAACAGAAGTAGAAAATAGTGTAGTAAAAAGGTGATATACACAATAAACTATCATCCTTCCTGTTCCTTTGCAAGAGCAACCTCCTGAGATGTTCTATTATGCTTCATTTTTACTGCCTTGATAAAAATGCCTTCCTGAGCTCCCAAGACAGACAGTTCCACATTGGCAGGGTAGTACCTTCCGAAAGCATTGCAGGTGACACCCAGAACACTGAAATGAACCCAGTAACTAATCAGTAACCAACAGAGGGAGTGTAAAATGTCTGTGATGTGTGTAACTTTACTGTGGTAGTGTTCTGCACCAACGGGACATTCCAAGCTGATCTGAAGGGCCTTTTTCCCCCCCTTTGTGGTAGCTGCGCTAGCTTGCTCCTCCAGCCATAATGCCGGGTCCAGTGCAACCCCAGGGCTCTAAGGGTCTGCTGTCAGGATTCAGTTTCAACCAGGCGCTGGCACTAAACATCTAGAGATACCCACTGGTTTAAAATATGTTCAGAATTTTTTCAGGCAGTAAGAAAAACGAGCAAATCTTCAGACATACCTGTATGCACATTGCCTGTCCCTTTTGTTTCCTGTATTTCAAAAAAAGTGAAAAATCAGAGAAGCTGGCAGGCATAATACAGAGGCAGCTGCAAATCAAGACAGCATGTGCATGCTTCAGTCAGAGTACCGTTCTGCTAATCATTTGTGCAATGCCATTTCCCAAAGAGAAGCAGGCTGCAGGTAGAACATCCCTGCTCTAGTGTCACTTCCTTAATGAATTAAGAGACAACACTGCAAACTAGCTCCTGGGGTCAAGTGCCATTCATGCTACAGGGACTTGAAGCGTCTGCAGGATTCTGGCCGCACTTACCTGGTGGCCAATAAACGTTAAGGACTGCCTTGCTTCCTGCCAATCTAGCTCAGGCATGTTACTACACGGAGATTCAAGCTGTTCTCTGGCAGAGGTGGCACTCCTGCTTGGGCCTGGTTGTGCACTGTCTTCCACGGCAAGGGAGAAGTCACTGGAACACAGGAGAAGTCACTGGAGCACAGGAGAATCTCAACCCAGCTTGGGGCTAGCTGGCATTACAAAGACCCATCTTGTCCAGAAAGGAGCAGAAAACTACTACTGCTGGTGTCTGGTAGCATCAAGGTGTTGAAGGCAATGCCACAGCTAACCACCTGAAATAAGCCTCTTACCTTTGGGTACTTGTACAGGTCTTGACAACAGCAACTCCCTGGCACAGCTCTGTCTCCGTCTGTGGCTGAGTTTGATTCAGGAAAAACAAATGCTTGTTCCAAGAAACAGGAGTCAAGTTTGCAGGAAGGGATTCCACCAGGTCCCAGCAAAAAAGAGTACACCGAGTACAACCCCTCACAATAAGAAAGGCAGGAGTGATCCCCAAAACAGCCCAATCCCCTTAAGCAGAGGCGCGTGCACACACGCCATCCATCCATCCTGACGTGATGGGTCTGGGCAGCATGGGAAGGAGAGTTACTTAGCTGGGCAGTTCTGGTGTTTGTCAACAAAGCAAAAGACCTACACTGAGGGAAGAGACATTTAATCCACACCATCAATGGTTCTACGAGCCATCTGAGAGCCACAGAGCACTGCCCAAAGGGGCCCGCTTACATTGAGGCCTGTCCTCTCTCTGTCAGCCTGAAGAGCTCCCCCATGGGGAGGGGCCAGAAAGGCCACAGGCAGGAAGCCAAGTGAGATCCCTCAGGTGGGTGGGGCTGGGTTCACACTGGACACCTTCTAGCCAACACACGAGGTGAGGTCGCCAGCCGAGGAACAGACAGACAAACGGGGAGGGAGGCCACAAGTAGGACTGTGACTACGATAGTGGATACTGCCCCCTGGCATCCTGGGCACACAAACCTCTAAGATGGCCTGCACCACTTCCTGTCGGCTCTGTTCCACCTTTCGGATATGAGCGGCCATCTGTAATTAGAGAGGGCAGAAGACACCATCAGACCACGAGACAAAAGAGCACCCCAGGGGCCCTGCTCTCGCCCTTCCCAGCATCACACTCGCCTGCTGAATGACTCCATCCTTGCTTTCTTCGTAAGCATCCAGCGCTTTGGTGAGGGACGTCTTGAAGCTGGAATAAAATCCAAGGCATGGGTTTGTGGTGCTACAAAGACCCAGGACTTCTGCAGTCTCTACTGTACACCATGCAGGGCGGCAATACTGCTGGTCTCTGAACAAGGCAAGTTCTTCTTGGAGCCCCTGGCATGGCGGAAAGGACAGGTGCAAGAGGCTAGGGGCGGGGGGGCCCCCCCCCCCCCCCCCTTACCCTGCCTCGCTCCACATGAGTCCTGCCAGCCTGGGTGCACCGTAAGTAGAGCAGCCGAGACACACCCGTGCTTGCTTTCAGACAAGCTCCTTCTGGCCAAGAGCTGCAGTTTGAGCTAGCAAAGGAACTGCCACGCAGCAACCATCACGCTGCTGACGAAGGGGTCTACTCACAGCTCATAATCCTCAGAAGAAATCAGGAACTGGCACTTCAGGTTGGGGTTTGCTTTGTTCTCCCACCAGAACGTACCAACTGCTTTCTTGTGTTCAGGGCTTGAAAAAGAAGACCGACCAGAAGACTGCTTTAGCTGCACATACTGATTTGGTATGAGGCACCTTCAGGTGTTCACTTTGTATCCCCATTGGGGAGAAAAGTGAGATAGAAATGTAGTAAAATATACTAAATTAGTTGTTGGAATGGATCTCAGAAATGGCTTTACTGAAAGGTGAGTCACGGATGGGACAACATTCATCCCCTGTCGCCAGCCTGACACCCCTGAAGGGTCCTGAGTGGCCCTCTTCCAGATCCAGTTAGGATGGATGACCTTCCCAAACTGCAGTGAAAGCAGAAGAGCCTGGGGACCAGGCGCCTGGCTGGGAATACAGACAAAGGCCATCCTGAGGCACCCATCAGCAACCGCTCCCCACTGTCTGTTAAATAGTGGGGGTTCCATGGATGAACAGACCACGAGCCTAGTGATCAGCTCTACTTCATCTGTGATTCCAGCGGCAGCAAGACAAGACTCCAGACGCCTCAGCTCTGGTTAAAGGGCATATGCCACTCCCTTTGACAGGCTATTTCCATGCCATTACCACCAGATGGGTTACTTTCAGAGTCCTGGCAGGCTACTGTTCTTGTGGTCGGAGGAGCCCAGGCAGTCTCTGGGGTGATTCAATCAGGGATGGTTCCGTCCCAGGCCATAGCACGGTTGGTTACCTTTTTCCCTCCACGATAACCTTTTGACCTCTAAGGCTC